TATATATATATATATATATATTACATAAAAATTAGGTATCTGAAAATTTGGGAGAAAACGAAGAAGGAAGTCCAGAGAATCTTGAGAAGAGGTCAAAGACAAATAATGTAAGTTTTGATATTGTAATTTTGTATGCATGGCAGGAAGATTTAAATCTGATAAATTTAGAATGAAACATTAAACACTGCTTAAAACAACCGATTAAACTTTGTTGGACCATGCAATACACGTAAATTAAAATGGTTTACATTGAGAGAAATAGGATAATCTATAAGTGATATATAGATACATATGTACATTATGTATGTATATATATACATATATATAAATGAAAACATACAATTTAAACACAAGATAAAATGCAGTAAGAGAAGTTGTCGATCAAGAGCTAATTCAGTTCAACTACACGCGAAACAATTTGTAGGCAAAAAACAATATATATATATAATGAGTTATACGAGTCGTAATTTAGTCTTAAAGACGATTGGTTTTGTCTGTAAGAAGATTTAAAATATTCAGTTTTTTATATTTTGTGTGTGTAAACTACAGAAACAGTGTAAGTGTGGGCGGTATATAATTTCTTCACATAAAGAAAATGATTAAATTTGTATCCAGTTAGACTAACATTATCAGTGATTCTTTTAACTTGTCGCGAACTCAAACCAGGTTCTTATTTCCTCCAAAAATTATTCCTTACTTGGAACCTGGTATAGTTTTTAGTTTGGTATAGTTGGTTTTTGATGTTGTTGTTTCTTTGCGCAAAGCTACATAATGGGGTATCTGTCCTTTGTCCACCGTAGGGAATCGAATCCCGGATGTTAGCGTCATAAGTACCTACCGGTGGATGTCTAGTCCACTAATCAAAATTTTTCCTTGTGAATCTCTGCAAGAATCAAAGACAGTCTCGCACACACCCATAGTAAAATGACGATCTTACACTGTATAAAAGCGACATTGACATAAATATGTAAGTTAATGGGATTTTCAAATGGACTCGTAGAGATTCATGCACCACAGGATGAGAACTAAGGATAAAGTTCGGTATGCCAGGGTGAACCTTATCAATTTTCACACTTTCAAGACTGTAATTATTAATACTCCTGTTAGATTGGTGAGAAGTTGTCCTTCACTGGAATGTGTCCTTAAATAGTAATAAAAGAAAAACAATGTTTATCATTATACTTTTCATTCATAAACAGCCTTGTACCAATGAAAGGCTGCTTGAGGCTGTTAAATTTTTTATACGAAATACCAAGCGTGACATCACGTGCATAATTGTAATATACTATATATAATGTGTATACATTACATATCCAACTTAAAAGATAGTGAATAATTGAGTTTTAAAGAATTTATATCAGATAAAATCTTTTCTCAGGAGCTATTCGACAGAGTTGAAACAGGTACGATACAAACATCGACTGGTTGTTCAGCAACAGTTAATAAGGCTTGACAAACATAAATCATTGATTAAGATCACGTAGGACAGAGTTGAAACAGGTACGATACAAACATCGAGTGGTTGCTCAGCAACAGTTAATAAGGCTTGACAAATATAAATCATTGATTAAGATCACGTAGGACAGAGTTGAAACAGGTACGATACAAACATCGAGTGGTTGCTCAGCAACAGTTAATAAGGCTTGACAAATATAAATCTACGTGATCTTAATCAATGATTTATGTTTGTCAAGCCTTATTAACTGTTGCTGAGCAACCACTCGATGTTTGTATCGTACCTGTTTCAACTCTGTCCTACGTGATCTTAATCAATGAACAGAGTTTGTTCTACACTGGAACTGTGAATATATAAATTAAAGATATTTGACTAATTTTTTTTATATTTTATGCAGGACGTTACCAGTAAAGAGCTACAAGAAAAATTAGATCAGACGAACATCAAACTGTTAGAGTCACGAAATCATGCTCAACAGTTACGTCAAGATCTTCGACTCGCATACAAAGTAGGTGATTTTGTTTTCTTTTGAAGATTTTAGACGTAGCTTTTAACTGGTGCTTGTGGTGAATTAGCTATTTTAATTTATCCGAGACAAAAAAAAAAAAGTCCGGCAACGTATTGTTATCAATAACTATTTTATAAAACAAGATGCATTAATCTACATTTTCTGGTACATTTCTATTCGTTTACTTGTAAACTGAAATTTATATACTTTATCAAGTATTATCAAGTAAACGAGAAATTTATTTGTTTTCCCGGAAATTTGTGTAAAAACAAAACTCAGCTTTTCGTTTGAATAAGAATAGTTTATATTTGTCTCAAAGTACACATTTAAGGCAATAAAATTACTTTTAGTTCGAGATTAATTTCTATTAAATTAATGTTTTAATTTTCGATAAAATGCTAAAGTTCCTTTACGTATCTAGACATCATTGAACAAATAATTTCTTCTTTGTACTGTTTACTAATTTTTTATGCTACATTAAGGTTAACATTTTCTCCTTTATTGCGATTAATCAGTACGTATATGAATATATACATATATTGATCTAGATACATTTAAAAATTAAATAAATAAATAAACATCAAATGTGACATGCTTCTTTCCAACGTACGCCAGCCTAACCACCATATTGGTGCGGTGAAGCTTCCTCTGTAGAAAATTTTAATGTGATGCCAGCTTTAAAAATTAAGAATGCCACAAAAGATTTCGGCATTAATTTGTATTTTTAGGCGTATCAGGTTTACCAAGGAACAGAGATATGCATTTCACAGGTGAAAACGTTTTATACTTAATTAATGAGCGTCTGGCATGTTATTTTTCTAACAAAGTTGATCCTTCAGTGAAAAGGGGGAAAACGTGTACTACGTGATTTCAAATTGCCTTTGGAAAAAAAAAAAAGGGACGATACCAGTCACCAGATTATTTTAAAAGTACTGTAATGTTTATGTAAGCGCCTATTCCTCCTATTTATATAAGTTTGTTTATTTGTAGTTAAGCACAAACCAACTCAAAGGGCTCTCCGTGCTCTGCCCACCCCGGGTATCGAAACCGAGTTTCTAGTGTTGTAAGTCTGTAAACATACCGCTGTGTTATACCCTAGTGCAATGCCATTAAGCAGAGAAACATTTAAATCTTTGAGAGAAAGACACTGACGTTTACCTATCAAAATAAGCGAAAAAAGTTAGTTTCATGGTCATATACGTTTATTTCCAACCTAATTTGTGTAGGTAAATC